TTTTTTTTTTTTTTGAGATTTTAATTTTAGAAAGGACAAAATAAGACATACATTAATCACCGAGATCAGTCACTTTACTCCATTTTCGAGCAAGGAGAAGACTTTATTACTAGATTTTCTCTTGTGAGGCAAATTAAGAACTTTTCTTTGTCTGAAATACAGCTGTAATATAACTGTAGGCGTCAATTTTGCAAATCAATATTTTGTCCTATCTTAAAAATTTGACATTTCTAGAAAATACTTTTCAACAAGTCATTTTCCAAAAGGGCAATATTTTTTTGTGTTTGATTGAATCCTGAATATGAACAGAAAATTATTTTCCTTCATTTAGAAACTAAAAGTTGATTTTGTTTTCCTAAAGTGACATGCGCACTATTCATGTGATACAAGGGATACTCATCCACCGGGGTCCCGTTGCAGGAGCAGGGATTTCCCGAGCCTAGCCACTGAGAACTTGAGCACAAGTGTCGAGGCACCGGGGTCCTGGGCATGGCCGATGTTTACCCGGTCCCCGCCGCCGAGGACCCGGGCACTGGCGTAGGGTTTCTCATGCTCAAGCACCGAGATCTCCAGTCCAAGCGTTTTTTTTTTTTGATAACCGAGGTGTCCGCGCGGCCGGCGAGCTAGGGCTCAAACCAGCGGTGATGCCCGACTAGTCCTCGAGGGGGGCTAGCGCAGCATCCCACCGCCACGACCCCCCACTTAAATCACCGATGGGCGAGTTTGAACCCAGGACCTCTCGTGAAAGGAACTGAACGCAAACCAACGCGACCACCGATGGGTGGGTATCTCCGGTCCAAGCGTTGCTATCTAGTGATATTAAAGAAAATGATTATGAAAATGATTTTTAGAGAAGGAAATTATTTTCTTGAATTTTAGCTTAAAATTTCTGTTGACTCATTTTCCTAAGCGATCCAAATGCCATAAAAAAAAAGGAAAATATTTTTCAACATAAAATTTTTCAAGAAACTAACGGAGCCTCGCTGAAAATAAGTGATTTGTAAATTATTTTCCTAAAAATGATTGCTTACATTGTTTACAAAAATGAATAAAAGAAAAAACATTTTCATCGCCTGCGAAATGTTTAGACATAAAAATCGCTGTTGATAATAAAAATGGTTTTTTATTAACTAATTATTTCAATCGATACAATCGATTATATTTTACGAAAATGTTTTCAAAATCATTATATTTGATTACCATTATTGCTATTAACATAGAGCAGACTTTGACCATGGCTATAGGCTGACCACTGGAAATGTTAAGCGCTGCAGATGGGCAAGCTTAGACGAGTGGTTTCTTTGGATTGAATCCGCGGAGTCCGTTCAAATTTATGGGGATAATTTAGCTTAGTTTCAATGTGGTGGAGGCATGGTAGGTGTAGACAAACAGGGAGAGAGCACTGCCACAAAAGAAGAGCTAAAAATGCATAACTTGAAAAATCGAAATGGGAAGTCAGTAGAGAGGTAGATAATTCAATGAAATTACGTTAGTTAATAATCCTACCTACATCCCAAGGAGTTGATTCGGTTCATCGAGTGATAAAATGATTTAAACTGTTGGCTTCAAGTCGTTTAATATCACAAGTTCAATTCTTACTCGACGTGGCCTTTCAGGTCATGGTACAAGGAAGTAATTTCTTGTGAATCTCATAAATGATGGTCGGGCGAAAACGAAGAACAGACTTGGCAATATGTGTCGATTGTTTAGTTTTTTTTCCAAAGTGTATCAATGTAAATCAGCCACCGGCACGAACACCATGTTATTGCTCCAAAAGATCCATAAAGCTCACCTTAAATTCATAAGTTCCACTATCATGAAATATCCTACTAAGTCAATCTAAGAAACTGTTGAATAGTTTGTTATCATAAAAAGACGTAACTATTGATCATGAAAAGATACGACTCTTCGTTATGAAAAAAAGTTATTGTTGATATAAAAAAGTGTGATGGTTTATCATGAAAAGTGGTGATAATTGGGATAAAATACCTATTCCCAAAAGATATGTTGAATGGTTGTCTATAAATAGTATCAAATCACACATTGTTCATAATAATCACAACTATTTAGAACAACAATTTTTTCTTGGTAACACTCACTTATTCTCTTTTTATACACACAACTTTGATGACACATTTAAGGTGAAATTCCAAGAGAGAAATTGAGCAATTGCTAAAGCCGTTTCTCTGCGGCTTTGGTGTATATCTTAGAAGTATAATTGTTCTAAACCCGACAGCAACAACAGTGGAGGCAAATAATATTTTAAGGGCAGTGATCATCATCACAAATCAAAATATCAAACATCTATGACTACAGCTCTATCTTCATCAGCAATCAAATTTCCCCAACAATCTTTAGGTATTATTTTCATGAAAACGGAGATAGTGATTGCATCAAGTGCTTGCAATATTGACAGATAAGTGTTTGTGAAACTATGTTTCTATTTATATGCTTGATGAGTCATCTTCCTTGTGACATAATAGATTATCTTATGTTGATGTAGTACTTTAAAATTTATGAATAAAAGTGATATGATATCATGTGATGATCTTGATAAGAAAATGATGATGAAAGTAGGTGCGGAGGAAGATTTCTCAATGCTCTATCATATCGTCTATATGAAATTTTTCGATCTCACACAAATTCCAAAGACATTTGGAATCCCTTGGAGACCAAATATAATATTGATAAACAAGGTACATATAGATTTACTACTTTGAAATATCTTGAATTTGCCATGATTGAGAACCTGATTGTGGATAATTTGATAAAACACATTGGAATTGAGGAAGGTTCTCGGAATCATGACGATAATTATGTGAAAGAAGTTGTAAATAAGGTGGATTTTGTTAAGAATGGCAACATGAGCAAAGACAAAGAAAGCATGAAAAGCTTGATTAGGTGGTATTACCATATGGAGTTAAGCATAACAATGCTGATTAGTGCATTTATTCAAAGTTTACTAAAGAGTATAGAGTTATAATATGCTTATATGTAGATAATATGCTGATTGTTGGTACAAATATGCATGGCGTTGATAAAACTAAAAAAGTATTTATCCTCTCAGTATAAAATAAAAGATTTGGGAAAACTAGATATAATTGTAGATATCAAAGTGGTCAAACATAATGAGATTATACTTTAAGTAAAGGCCACTATGCGGAGAAAATCATTAAAAAATATCAGCATTTGGGAATTAAAACGCTACATGTATCATTTGATGTATCAATTAAATTGATGGTTTGACCAAAAACTAATTGATAGAAAATACTAGGCAACATTTAGCACAATTAGAATATGCTAATGCAGTTGGAAGTTTGATGTGCGCTCTGCATTGCACGAGACCGGATATAGCCTTTGTTGTGTGTAAATTGTCCAAATTTACTAGTAATCCTAGTAAGTAGAATTCTTGATTATTAAAGAAAATAATATATTATGGTCTATTTTATGAAAGGCAACCACTAGCACTAAAATGATACTTAGATGCTAGTTATATATCTCTTTTTGTTAGACGGGTATATGCACATGTATGTATATTTCAATTACACTATTCTTATTTAAAGCAGTTTTGACATTACTTTTAGCATATCAAGATTGAAAGAAACCTCTAAACTCGGTGCATCCGTTACTTGAGCCTTGAGATTTTCATATTACCTAGATGTATTGTTCCTATTTGTTTTTCGTAAGCCAGAAAAAACTTAACTAAAATCCACTTTCTGACGTCTTATTTTTAATTTATTATTATATAACGATTTTGTTGCTGAAATCATAAATAAATCATGCAAAAGCTACAAAATTAAAAGGAATGAGAGAGATGGAATAATAATTACATAAATATTTATATTCTTCGGATTTTTTTAAAGAATTATTAGCAGGTGCAAAATGTTGGGATGCCAATCTATAATGCACAACATTGAAAATTTAAAATAGTCAAGATAAGTGCAAGGCAATCTCCCAAAATTCGTTCATGCATTTTAAAGTAAAATTGCAAATTTCTCTCATCGTGGACTTATCTAACTTTTTGTTTTAAAGTGATTGAAATATTCGAAGATTATATTTCTCCTAAATACTTTTTTTTCGCGTCGTTTTCGGCAAATAGATATACATCTTATCAGATATGTCATTAGATTGGCAAATATATCTTTTGAAATTGTTCGAACATCTCTTAACTCTTAGCAGCAAAAAATTTCAAAGCCCTTACAAAATTTATCATAACCATGTCAAAAAGAGTTTCCATTGATCATTGATTGTCTAACGCAATGCAAAGAATCAATTGATGAGTGAACTTAAACTTTATGTAAATTCGAGCATAAATAATTTTTTTAAGTGAATTCGAACCGAAACTAAAGTAGATCTGAAATTGAATTATCAGACTCCATCAAACTTTGGAAGAGTTGCGCACAAATTAAATCACGCATACTTGCATAGATCACGCTTCGGCGTTCAAAACTCGGTTGTTTCTGTTCAAAGATATTAACGATTTTCTTTTTTGCCTTCTAAACTTACCCTCACTTATATATCCGCGTTCTTATATAAAGACAGAGCTGGGAAACTTTGCCGGAGGAGGTCGAGGGACATCGATATTGCCTGGCCTAGGGTCGCGAGACATCCTAATCAGTCGCGGACTCAATCTCTTTCTTTAATTGTCAATTAAAAAAAAAGCCTCTTCTTCATACATACATAAAATCGTAGAATGCAATTTTTGAGTTCTTCGAGTTTACTCTTTCTTTGTCATTATATATATAAAATTGCATTCTACGATTTATTCCTTATTTTCGGCTTTCTTTATCAATATAAAAAGAATCAAGGAGAATAGCGAGTGGGGAATGACATACCTACATATATATAAAATAAATATCAACATCAATATCAATATCAATATCAATATCAATATCGACCCCCAAAAGTTTTTCTCTGTTCATCGTCGTCCCCCTTTCTCCTCTCTCTCTCTCTCCTTCGGACTGATTTCGCTGCGATTGCGAGCTCCTCCTCCTCCTCCTCCCTCCTCCTTCCTCCACCTGCGTCTTCGTTATCAGCAGCAGCAGCAGCAGCAGCAGCTGTGGATTCTTCTCCGACCTCGATCGGTCCTCCTCCTCCTCCTCCTCCCGTCGCTGCTCCGCGAATCAGGTCGCTCTTTCCTCCCGTCCACGCCTGGCGTCCGTATGTCGATTCTCTTCTTCGCGTGTGCGTTCTTTGCCCCTCCCTTTTGGATTCCTGTTCCTTAGGTTTCCGGTCGCGAGGCTGTCCCCGGTTCTCGTCCGGCGCCGCCGGGTTTCGGTCGCGTCGCCGCCGTGATCTGTTTGGGGTGATTGTTTCGGTTGGGGGGGAGTTGGTGATTGGGAGTGATGGATGCTATTTAGGGCTTGAGCGCGTGGGGTGGTTCTTTTGGTCCCGAAGAGGAGGGAGGGGGGGGGGGGGGGGTTGCAAGGAGAAACGTAGCTGCGTTGCCTCTTAGGGCTTGCGGATATCGTCGGTGAAAGTAGGAGCTTGTTGCCCGCGTTGTGCTGGGGCTTCCTAGTTGTCGGGCCTTGCGGGGGTTTTTAAAGCGGTTTTTGGGGTGCGCGCGCATTGGCGGGATTCTTAGCTGTGAATTTGTCCTTCCTGCAGAGGAATTGGGAGCGAAGGGGGTGTGGGGTCCTAGCGGGATGAACGACAGGAGGACGATCGACCTGGACCAAGGATGGGAGTTCATGCAGAAGGGTATCACAAAGCTGAAGAACCTCCTCGAGGGGCTTCCCGAGACCCAATTCAGCTCCGAGGACTACATGATGCTCTACACGTATTTTAAGCCTCTGTTTCTCTGCTGTTTTCCCCGTGCATGCCTGCTCGCCGAGCTGCACGATCGTGGCATTTTGTCGACGGTTGTTTGACTCTGCTGATTTTATTCGCAGAACGATTTACAATATGTGTACTCAAAAGCCTCCTCATGACTACTCCCAGCAACTGTACGACAAGTACAGAGAATCCTTTGAAGAGTACATCACATCAATGGTGAGGAATTAGAAATCGTGTTGTGTGTTCTCTTTTCCCATGATGGGCATATGAGAAATATGCAAGATACAGTGATAGTTAATAACTGCTCTGGAAATTGACGTTCCATCCGTTTATTGTATAGCCTATGAGTTGCCATTAATGTTTGTTAAAAAAAATTCCGGGTGATGTTCCTCAAAATTAATGCTAGTTTTGAGGTGCCAGTGGGCATTGGTTCGAATGATTGAGGTTTGGGGATAGTGAATGATCGATAAGAAGTTTTTGACCAAAAAAATTTTCATAGCAAAACGGCGTCAGATTCATAGATATAATGGCAACTCCTTTTTCGAGTGAAAAACTGGATCTCGTTTTTGTAGTTGAAGTAGGAAAATTATGCCAAGATAAGATCATCAGTTCGAAATGATCTGAGAAAAGTACTACACTAATAAACAACAAGTTTCGAGTTATATGGAAGAGTTGTCAAGAAGCTTTGAGCTATAAAGTGCAGAGATCAAATTTGAATGCTGTCTCCTCGTGCGACATGGGAAATAACTATGGCTTACCAAGAAGTGTTTTCTACTACACCAATTAGTTCTTTGGTGTAAATCTGATGTAGTTACTGCGATTAATTCATTGATTCTTCTGATGGAAGATAAGAAATGAATCAGTGTACTTATGAAGTCCTTGTTGACCTCTTGAAATGCGATATGAAACATTCTCCCCTTTCCCTTAATCATTGCATCTTCAGGTAGAAACTATTTTGTTGGTACTTAATCACGCTGATGGTTGAAAGTGAGATGGTAGTATTCATGACATGGACATCCTTCCCTGATGATATAAGGCTTAGAAATTTCATAAATAACCTTTCCATGTTGGAATACCTACTTTGCACTGTGGACGACATATCCTTTGGGTTCTTGATTATTCTATCTCCATTAATTTCGAGGCCTGCCTTCGATTTAGGTATTGCCTTCATTGAGGGAGAAGCATGATGAGTTTATGCTGAGAGAACTTGTTAATAGGTGGGCAAACCATAAGGTGATGGTTAGGTGGTTATCTCGTTTCTTCTATTATCTGGATCGGTACTTCATTGCTCGAAGATCATTGCCGCCTCTTAATGAAGTTGGCCTGACTTGCTTTCGTGATCTGGTACGTCTTCAGTGACCTCTCGTGTGTGATGTCATCTTTCTGTTGATCACCCGCAGAAAATTTCGTGGTTGAAATGTGCCAGAATCATGCTGACTGCAGTTTCACGATGTCGACTATTTTCGTATGTTATCGACAATTATCTCAGTGCACTTCATTGATGATGTTTTCAGGTATATAAGGAGTTATATGCAAAAGTGAGGGATGCTGTTATCTCTCTGGTATGATTGTACTCCAAACCCTCTTATTCTTGACAGGTTTCTTAATTCAAGAAATCTCGTTAGTTCTTATGCCGGCTTGAATTTTGATTAGATTGATCAAGAACGTGAGGGAGAGCAAATTGACCGAGCTTTACTGAAGAATGTTTTGGATATATTTGTTGAAATTGGGATGGGGCAAATGGATCGTTATGAAAGTGACTTTGAGGCATCACTGCTTGAAGATACTGCTGCTTATTATTCTAGGAAAGCTTCGAATTGGATACTAGAAGACTCTTGTCCAGATTACATGCTGAAGGCAATGCTTACACTCTATACCATTAGCCTGAGATGTTGCGGTGGATAGTTTCTACCGTTATTAATCCATGTTATTGGTGATCACAGGCTGAAGAGTGTCTAAAACGTGAGAGAGACAGGGTTTCTCATTACCTGCATTCAAGTAGTGAGCCGAAGTTACTTGAGGTTGGTAATTGGTGTTACTTTTGGAATGTCAAATCTGGATGGAGTTGCGGTGTATCAATTTTTTTTTTTTTCAGTCTGTCAACTCAATTTGCAACTTTTACTTCCTGTTTTCTGCAGAAAGTTCAACATGAATTACTGTCTGTCTATGCAAACCAACTACTTGAGAAAGAGCACTCCGGATGTCATGCGTTGCTTAGAGATGATAAGGTGGTTGCTTTGCTTTGCTTAGTAATTTTCCATTTGGAACTTCTAATTTGTTTAGAGGGAGATGCTTTATTACTGACTTGAATGTTTGTTTTTCAGGTGGAGGACTTGTCTAGAATGTTCAGGCTGTTTTCTAAAATACCTAGGGGCTTGGATCCTGTTGCAAATATATTTAAACAGGTAATTAACTGTAGACTTGTGCTTTCTCTAAGGAAGTAGATTTTTTACGTTTTCTCAAAATTTATGTTCATCGTATTGTGCAGCATGTTACTGCTGAAGGTACAGCCTTGGTCAAACAAGCTGAAGATGCAGCAAGCAACAAGAAAGTATGCACATTTATTTTGATTCTTGTACTCATTTAGCTTTTCAAGCTGCTAAAGTACATGCTTTTATAGGGCTTCATAATGTTTAGAATCTTAGTAATTCTTCGAAAAGTGTCTCCTTTGAAGGATATATCGTTTCATTTATCTTAAAGGAATTTTACTTGTAGATTTTGGACTCTAGTGTTTGAGAAGACACTTCATCTTTAGTAAAATCATAAGAAGTGTACAAGTCAACACAATGAAGTGACAGAATTGTAAATATTTTGTGGAACACACATCACAAACGCATATATGCATTTGTATGTGTGTTGATAGACCTCTGGTTTGGAAAAACAGAATACACTTCATGATGAACAATTTAAATTACTGTCTTAAATTAGTCATGAGAAAGCAAGTTTAAGAGGTCATTAGAGGTCAACTGATGCATGCTCCTATTCGAACTTCTGTAGTAAATTTGGCACGTCCTATAGGATTTTTGCTATCGATGTTTCGATACTTCTTAAATAAGCAGGCATGTTTAACTGGTGCGTGCAATGCACCATTTGCTTTTATTTTTTCATCACTTGGTGATGTGAGTTTCGAGGGACTGAAGGATTAAAAGGGGCATGCATGCAAATAATTGCTAAATCTGAACCTCTGAAGTTGGAGTGCGAGACTTGAACTAAGACCGCTGAAACTAGCCGTCAAAGCATTCTGTTGCACCATTGCTTATTAGTAGCTTGGAAACTCCAGTGTCCTGAATTTCTCTCTCTGGCCTATAAAAATAGAATAGAGACTGTTGCTGCTAAGCGTGGAGATTACCGAAAACTGTTAGATGTACACACTGCATAGTTCCGTTGTTCTGATGCAATTCACTTCAAGATCCTGTTGAACACTTGTTTCTTTGAAGTGGTGATCTGATGACTGTTGGTTTATTTGCAGGCTGAGAAGAAGGATGTGGTTGGTCTGCAAGAACAAGTAATTTTATCTGGTTTTTTCATATCTTACTTTGGATAAAGGAGTCTAAATATTGACAGGAAGCTTATATAGGTGCACGTTTTGCAGGTTTTTGTGAGGAAAGTGATTGAATTACATGATAAGTACCTAGCATATGTCAACGATTGTTTCCAGAACCACACTCTTTTTCATAAGGTATGCTGCTGCTGCTGGTTCTGCCTCTGGGCATCCCGTGTTTATGGTTAATGTCAAGTTCTCTGCTCTTCTGTAGGCTCTAAAGGAGGCTTTCGAGGTCTTCTGCAATAAGGGAGTCGGTGGAAGCTCAAGTGCAGAACTGTTGGCCACTTTTTGTGACAACATACTAAAGAAAGGTGGCAGTGAGAAGTTGAGTGATGAAGCTATTGAGGAAACACTTGAGAAGGTATTATTCGGCACTTAGACCCCCAATGAGCTAATCACATGACATTCTTCTGCTCCTAATTCCTTTTTCTTTGGTCATTGAACAGGTGGTGAAGCTGCTTGCCTATATCAGTGATAAAGATCTATTTGCTGAGTTCTATAGGTGAAACTTTATCCATCTCTCACTATTACTTGCCTGCAATCAGAAGTTCTCTGTGGGCAAACCATATTGACAGAATCAATTTTTTGTGAACTCTGGCAGGAAAAAGCTTGCGAGGCGGCTTCTTTTTGATAAGAGTGCTAATGATGATCATGAGAGAAGTATTTTGACCAAGCTAAAGCAACAATGTGGTGGTCAATTCACCTCAAAGATGGAGGGAATGGTTGGTTGCCCTAGTTGTCCCCACTGAATGACTGACTTCCTCTACATTTGATGCTAGGCCGACTATTTTCCACAATTTGCTGATTTACTCTTCTTTCAGGTGACAGATTTGACATTGGCAAGGGAAAACCAAACCAGTTTTGAAGAGTATCTCAGCAACAATCCTAATGCAAATCCTGGGATTGACTTGACGGTTACTGTTCTGACAACTGGCTTCTGGCCAAGCTACAAATCTTTTGATCTGAACCTTCCAGCGGAGATGGTATGCGTGGTGTCAGCCTTTTTATCTTTTTCTGTTTCTTCAGGAAATAATTCTGTACGGTGCCCGTACAAGTCTATTTATGAGTAGCCCCTTCCCCATTCGTTGCCTTACATACAAAAAATTGCTTTCTGCAGGAGTTGCTCATATCACTTTTTCGTTTTTGTGTTATTGTAGGTAAGGTGCGTTGAAGTTTTCAAGGAATTCTATCAGACGAAAACGAAGCACAGAAAACTAACATGGATATACTCCTTGGGTACTTGTAACATCATCGGAAAATTTGAACCAAAAACCATGGAGCTGATTGTCACAACTTATCAGGTTTCTTGAATGGAATTATTCACCTCTTTTCCGCCCTTGTCTTTTCCTTTTGTTCCCCCCTCCAAAGTCACCAGGATAGATAGAAAAGGTTACATACCACAAGGCGACACACGCAAATGGGCTTAATCCTTGTTCTTTTTTATGGATAGGCATCTGCTTTGCTGCTTTTCAACACCTCGGAGAGATTGAGTTATTCGGAGATCATGAACCAGTTAAATCTGAGCGACGATGACATTGTTAGACTTCTGCACTCTTTGTCATGTGCCAAGTACAAAATTCTCAATAAAGAGCCAAATACAAAGACAATATTATCGACTGATCACTTTGAATTTAATGCGAAATTCACCGACAAAATGAGGAGGATCAAGGTATCTATTGTTGCCTGACATTTTTCCTTCCTTAGCTTTCAATTTCTATGCAGTGAAATGATTGCAATCTTCCAATCACCAGATTCCACTCCCTCCTGTGGACGAGAAAAAGAAAGTAATTGAAGATGTTGATAAGGATCGGCGTTATGCCATAGATGCGTCAATTGTGCGCATCATGAAGAGTCGGAAAGTTTTAGGTCATCAGCAGCTGGTTATGGAGTGTGTTGAGCAGTTAGGACGCATGTTTAAGGTCTCTGATGATGATTTCTATCCTTTCCCTTAGTTAATGTTTTTTGGCCCATCTCCCTTGCAAATTTTGGCTCATCTTTATTAACTGAGAACTTGTCCATTGCAGCCTGATTTCAAGGCGATCAAAAAGCGAATAGAAGATTTGATCACTCGGGATTATCTGGAGAGGGACAAAGATAATCCTAATTTGTTCAGATATCTTGCTTGAAAATCTGCTAGTTGACCGTCCAGCTATAGAAGTTGCTGCAGATAAGGGAATGGCGGAGGGGTTCAATCACTTCCCTACCAAAGGTTTTGGAGGACCTATGTTCAGCTGTACCTCTTCCGCTTGATTAATTGGGAGCGCACGAGCCGAAAAATGCCTGTATATTTTGCCTTGAGAGCCAAGTACGAATGGTTAAAGAATATGCGCCCGTCCTGGAAGATATGAGGTCGTGATTGATTTGGTCCAATACTTAGAGTGGGACCAACCAGCATCTTCCGCCGGCATGCGAGCACCCAAATGATTATTGATGTTTTCAGGTTGATTTGTCCTTAGTCCCAAATATTCAAGAATGAGACTATTTGTTTTAACACAAGTTGTCACTGCAATTTCTAACTTTCTTATCTTCCAAACTGGAGCTGCACTTAGGTGTTTTACAGCCTTGTTTTATACTGGTTCTTCATGGAAGGGTAATTTTATGATAATCAGTTCATCTCTCTATACGTGTTTGATGCCAAAGTAACTTCAACCTTGTCTGATCATGATGTCGGGTGAGAAATCGGTCTAGTGCATTGACACACTCATGCTGAATCACTTGATCCTGCGAAGTTTCTGTACGCCAATAAAACTACAGAATCGATCGGGAAATCCTGAGAATTCGAGAGCAAGATCCGTGGCATTAGCACTGAGAGTGCGGTTATGTCTCTCGTTGTGTGTGGAGATAATCTCGTTGTGTGGAGATAGCTTTCGGAGAGATTTGGGTGCGGCTTTTCTCGAGTGTTTGGGGAATGAGCTTGCCCACACGGCACGCTCTCTCTCTCTCTCTCTCTGGGCTACAAATTGTCAAAATGAAGATCGTAATTAGTCAACTCTGGGCTACAAATTGTCAAAATGAAGATCGTGATTAGTCAACTGTGGCCAGAACCACGAGCTCAAATACACTGACTAGCTGCCAAAAAGGAAAGAAAAGGGCTTTTTTCTTTTTGGGCAGAGAGACGAGAGATTGGAACTGAGGAAGGTGCCATCTTTTCTAATCGTTGGGATCACTTATCATGTTCATGCCACTAACGATTGTTGGGCGATGACCAGCAAGCAAGCTCCATGAAGTTGCTTGTGGGATTTTCCACCGTTGCTTCTTGGAGAGGGAGAAGGGAAAAACTGTCGTTCTAGGGAGGACGTGAAACCGGCCCCCTCTTTTGTCTCTTTTCTAGTGTTTTTCAATTCCTTTGCTTTTGGGTGAAACTAGAGAGAAGAAAATAGAGGCAGAAGATCAGGAGGAGCGAGCAAATTGTGAGCCTTTTGTTTCGTTGTTGTACGGCAGCCAATTCAGTCCTAAATCTTTCAATTTTGCCAATTTAATCATAAGCATTTCAATTGTATCAATTTAATCATAAACTTTTTATTGATTTGCAAAACAGTCTCTCGTAAATCTTTCGGTCATAAATACAGCTAACTATTACATATCGCCTTTGATTTTAGGATTAATATCATGAAAAATCCCAAACTGGTACACCTGTGATAAATTTATCCCAAATTAATTTTTTGACCACCAAAAATCCCAAACTGGTAAACCTGTCACAAATATACTCTAAACTAGTTTTTTTACCTCAAAAAATCTTTAACTGGTATATTTGTGACAACCTTACCCTTCGTTAATTTTCGTTGAATTGGATTAATACCATGAAAAATCATAAACTGGTACATTTATGATAAACGGAGGGTAAAACCCCAAACCGGTACACCCATCAACTGTCACATGTTATCAAACGGATGGTAAATTTGTCACAGGTGTACCAATTTTGAATTTTTAGTGATCAAAAAATTAATTTGGGGTAAATTTGTCACAGACATATTAGTTTACGTTTTTTTGTGGTAGTAACCCTTGATTTTTTCTATTATTTTCTCGTGGCTCACCCTATTTCCACCCCTAAAATAGATCTAGACACGCCCTAAAATTGACGTGGTCCAATAGCTCTCGCTGGAACCTCTTTAATCGTAAGATTGATGAAAGTGAAAAAAATATACCTTTAGTATAGATCGGTTGATATGTTGATCTTTATCAACCTTTCCTTCGCTCCTTTTTTACGTGAATCATCTAAGACTTGAGTATTTCTATAAATTTAATGATGAGAATTCTAATTTAAACAAATATTAATAAAGTACATCTATCTACAAAGTCTCTATGAAGTTCAATCTCTAATAACTCTTTGTGATATACAATTCTTCGGTTCAAGCTTTTTTAGGGGAATTTTTCGATTAAAGTTGTGAACTCTTTATGATTATGAGTTATATTTAAGATATGTAACTTAACAGAGATTACCAACAAAATTTAAACTCATTAGAAAAGATCACTTATAGAAATCAGTTTGAGCACATTAGTAAGTAGAAGAGAGGAAATGAAATTTGTACACAAATGAACAAGAAAATATATAAGGTGGTGGAATAAAGCACCATTGCCTCGATTAATATGGACGGTCTTCTACTTTCATGACAATATACGGCTTTTGTTTTTCAATAATTAGCAACTTTCACCCTTCCCTTTGTTATTATAATTAGTTAATTCTTTCGCGGTTATTATCGTCGTTAATTTGATAAATTAGGAGTATAGTCATTCAATAAACAGTTGTGAGCCTCTTCTCATTTACTAACATAAAAGTTTCCCTCTTTCTTTTGTTCGTTGTTATGATCTCATGTCATGATCTCGACAGCATTGGAGTTTGACATGAACAAGAAACCCGGGTGGTCCAAGCCTAACACGCCTTACATCAAATAACTAGAGGGCAATCAAAAGTTTTTGTCAGCTATTTTGTCCTCATTTTCTTGCAGTATGGAGGAGATTCTGTGCTTGGAAAATGGGGTTCGGTTGCTACCACAAGATTCAATGAATATGCGTGAACGACGTGCAAAAAAGAAGTGTTTTCTTTATTTATTGCGTGTGTGCAAGTGCCAAAGGTAGTGAACAAAGCAACATAGACGGCCATCCTCACATGTTTTTCTGTATGACAAGATCATTAGTCACTCGTTTCATCCCATAAAGAAAAAGACCAGCAGCAATTTCTTACTCCTAGAGCTCTTTTTGTCTCCTACAACAACAGGTACTGCTTCCAGTTTCCAAAGATTTCTCCGCTCCGAATAAAACCTAAACTTTCAAAGGTTTTTCGTTAATGACTGCTCTCGAAACACTTCTCAAACAACTATATGAGAAGCATTTGCAGTTTTTGACGCACTGCTTTAGCATGCTTAGCAAGTACTCTGGAGGGATCTTGAGCAAGACTGACATTTAAATGCAAGGTTAGGCATTTGTAACTCGTGAAAAGTTCCTTTCTTGAGCATGGAACTTGGGAACCAATTGATGATCTCACCCCCAAAAACACGATGGAGAATAGGAAAAGCGAAGGTGAGAAATGGACGGGGGGATGAAGTTCCCAGATGCATTGGCAAGTTATTGACAACCGACACCTTGCTTTGAACATGCTTGTTTAACATAAAAAAGTAATTTCAGTGCTTGTCATAGTCACATCAACATGAGTCAACTTCTTTGGCTTAGAAAATCTTCTCTGTTCCTCAAACACGGGTTCCAGAGTTTCTAACTCCCTTGTGGTCCTATCAAGATCAAACTGTGACAATTAAAGTTTTCAATTTAATGTTCCCAAGTGGGATTTTTGTTTTGTTACTTGCCCTTCCTGTTGACTACGGCAAGTGGAATCCCTTCTTGTGGATTGAAATTATGGAGATGGACCAGTACATATACTTTCGGTGACAGTCAGCCAGGTCGGCAGCGTTGGTCACTCGTTCTCGCCTTTTTACCAATCAAAAAGATACTTTCGATAGCTTGTTCATTCAGGTAACATTCCTAGGGATGCATTATCCTCGATCTGCTCCATAATCGTTATGCACAAATAGCACCGTCCAAGTGCCATCAAATAAGGCTGCGTAATAGGTGACAGATTACTCTAAATATAAAAGCTGTATGATTTGAACACGGGATTTTTCATATCTAAAACAAGCGCTTAACAACTCAACGAAATTTGACTAACACAAATAACTATTTCCAAAATTTATTGTTTCCCCCTGTACCTTTGATGATGAAACTGCGTCTAGAGTAGTTCAGTGAATGTCCGAATAATTTACAGGGAAAATAATGGGGGTATACATTCTTGTTCCCCACGGCCTCTGCTGAAAGGATGGGCGGTGAGGTTATCATTTGAAGCAATTTGGTTTTTGGTGAAACAATACAATTTTTATATTCCTCCACTTTGTTCTTGTTTGCATTGCATCATCATCCCCTTTCTTCCTCGAGTGCACTGATTTTTCCATTCCTGCTCACTTTGCTGATTGCATCATCATTTCATTTGCTCATTATGTCTCCTGAATTGATCTCTGTGTGCATATTTTAAAGAACTTGGTGTGAGCTGAGCTCTGAGGTGGGACATTGCCACTGAGAGTATAGTAGCTTGCTTTGTTAATAAGTTTGATATGAGCAATCTCAATGTCAGATGCTTCTCCGGTGTTTGTTTTTATGCTCAATTTGCTTCGACACTAGCGTCATTTCAGCTTTAAGAATCAGCGAAGCCCACGCTCAAGTTGCTCGGTCAGTGCTTCCCCGAGCACCAATAATATGAACAACTAAAGATGCAACATATAATTGGGGGCTCTCCCTTTTCTTCGTTCCACTGAGGAAAAGCTGTCGACTCCCAACTGGTTGAGCCATTTGGGTGGAAAAGAAAAAACAAATTCATGGAATGAACAAACTGACTGGAAACGCGCCGAGGCGATGACAGAAGCAAACCGAGAAAAGACATAAAATACGAGATACTGTGAGGAATGTACGATGGAACAAAATTGAGGCAGCCAATCTCTATTTAGTTTTATTACAGCTCCTATAATATACCAGATCAGTTGGTATATATAATTGTAGAAAGCCATTTAAATTCTGCTTGCGGTATAGCAACGTCAAACACAACTTAAACGGCGCATCGGATTCCTTTGCTTCTCATAATCCCATTAATCTTTCTTCACATTGTTCCATTAAAGTTCCCGTCCTTAATTAGTTGAATTCGATGTTCCTAAAATTAGTCAATGATGTTTCCGACATGTTCTTGCCTTATACTTTTATGCATCAATCACTTATTTTTTTGCCAATGGCCCCGAGTATTCGACTCCTGAGTTACTACAGGGTATAACGAGTGGTTGCTGGCTTAATCACATTAGGGTCAGTTGCAGTCATTTATTTCATCGTCCCTGAACTTTCGATGCTAGAATCTGGCTGAACAGAGAAATTTCGACTCGAACTTCAACTAGGCGAATTGGATGCTGACAAAAAGAGTCTTCACTTGGGTTAATGGTGTCAATCTTTTTAACCATAGAATCTACATTAGCTCCACACAATCATTCTTGATCATGAAGTGTATATCGGAATTCCCCCGTGACCTCTCTCGAGGTCTCTCATAGCTTCATATGGAATCTGTGCAGAATCTCCAACTTT